CAAAGGGTCGGCGTTAGATTATATTTTATGGACGGGATAACCGGTCTGTCCCTAGACCCTCGGGAGTTGGGACCTTAGATGTTTTAATCCTCGCTCGATTACGCTATAGGTATCATTCTAAACTTGTGAACTATGAAGCTATGATGAGAAGAGTTGTATAGGAGTTGAGTAAGCCTTTTATTTCGAAAGAGGGTATCCAGGAGCATGGTTTAAACGTATTTTTATTAAGGAGGGAATATCATAGAATGACTGCTCCCGCCTGGGTGAGGCGGGAGGGAGTGTCAGACTCTTACTGACTAAAAACCACCCCGTTCCTTCTCCTGCACGTCGAGCCGGAGCCCCGGTTACCCGTTAGGTTCTCCGCGACATGCTTTAAACGTATAGGACTAGTAGATATTATTTGCGATTGCACTTTTTAGCTTCGTAACAATTTCGAGACACTAAAATAATATACTAATACTAGGTATGTGAATTAATCAAGACCATAATTTTTACCCTTATATCGACAATTGTACCTTTGTAGGTACTTGTTACTTGTGTTACTTGTGTAACTAGTTCGATATCGAATGAAATTCAGTCCGATTCTAATTGCTTGCTAATGAAATTGATGTGCTATGAAAAATGAAATGCCTAAGTGTAGATGAGGTGTATTCACAGTACGTCTAATTGTATTCATCATGTTAGTTTTAAACTCAAACACCGCGAGGACACCGGTGACCGCAACCTATTGTTCTATAATTGTGTCTATAATGACGGTACTCTCAATAATAATTTGTCTAACCCCTGCAACGAACAATCTCACTTACGAAATAACATTACTTAAATAAAATCAAGTTACATCACAGTATAATAATGACTCATTTCTCATAAAAAATAATACCGAAAGCTTCCCAGAAAATAACGATTTTACTTCAGATGTTCAACAAGAGAAAATTTTAAATAAATATAAACAGTTCCTCAAACAAACTCCACGTTCAAAGCTCCGGTATTAAATTAAACAATTTGAATTACCGTAACAGGCTTCACAAAATGGGGTTACAAGCAATTAATGTAATTACAAAGTTTTCAATTTTCACGCTACGAACAAATGTTTTAATAATTTAAAATTAAAGATAGGTACGACGTTTCACGTAATATTATTATAATTTGTGGTAAAACTTGATAGAATATAGCCTTGCCGGTACGTAATACCTTCAAGTTTTAAACGCCATTATTAGTGAAATAATTCCCAAAAATGGCGGTGCAATTAAATAGTTGCCTACATGGCCAGGCACTTGCGATGACTGATGTTGTATGTAGCTATATTCGATCTGCTTAGGTAATTAACTATTTGTAAACATTTGTAGTTGTTTTTTATGAGGTGATAACCAACCAATGTCTTCTCCTGCCTAATGTGAGGCGAGAGAGAATTTCAAACTCTTATGGACAAAAACCAACCCGTTCCTACTGCTATTTAGAACTGGAGCCCCGGTAAGCTGTTAGGTTGTCCGCAGCTCATGTTGTGCCCAGTTGCAGTCTTGCAGATGTAATTGGGCTACAATGAGTGATTCAGCAGTTCTACATATAACTCTATGACACGTTCATCATGAAACAGAAATCAGACACGATCTCCAATCAATCACGATCTCTGGCCACCGTAAGTGCGGGTCTGCGGACTGTGAGCAAGGGTAGCTCGCCGCCTGACCAGAACCAGACCCATGCGTACAGCGCGTTACGTTTCGTGCGCGCCGTATGCACTAGGGCTGATGCCCGATACGGAGCCGCGGAAGGCCTAACGGATTGCCGTGGCACTGGCTCGAAGAGCAGGAGTAGGAACGGGGTGGTTTTTAGTTTTTTTTTTATGGAATAGAAGGCAAACGAGCAGACAGATCACCTAATGGTAAGCGAGTAAGAGTCTGACACCCCCTCTCACCTCACCCAAGACGGGAGAAGTCGTTGGATGATTTTAACCCCTCAAAAAAGACATCTAAAACGAGAAGATATGTAAATCTCCCACCCTCTTGGTTGTGGGTTTAACGATAAAAACTGTACTTCGCATTTAAAATCTTCGCTCACAACTTTACGGCCTCTTAAATAAACAAGGCAGCCACTTTAATACACCATAATACTCACGTAGCTACTATCGTTTATCTTAATAAGTTTAAATAAAATTAAACAAAAGTATAAAGTATAAGATGTACTATTTACAGCTCTATAGTGTGTGATATTCTAGTTTCTTATCAAATGAGAACAGTCTACCTTATTGCTCTTCTTAACAAAATTATACATTTAAGTAAGTATAAATAAGTAAAAAATACGGGACAAATAAAATACCACAAAATTAGTGTGAAGAATTACTCTCTACTCTCTGACTCACACTAATTGACTGAATCACCCATTTGCCATACAAGTAGGACAATCAAAGAACTGAGTAAAGTTAGATTCCACACTATTGCCTGTTGTTGGACAGGACAGTCATTGGATGATTTTCCCACCACAAAAAAGGACCTCTCTCAAATCTCAAAGTCATGTTCAACCTTATTTTAACACATTGGCACACTACAATTCTCCTGTGTCATGAATGCGTTGACAAACACATAATTTTACATACACATCATCACACAAAATTGATATTGCATTTAATTAAATCACTACATATTATAAAACAAAGTCGCTATCCGCCGTTTGTCTGTCCCTATGTATGCTTAGATCTTTAATACTACGCAACGGATTTTGATGCGATTTTTTTAATAGATCGAGATATTCTTAAGGAAGGTAAGTTTGTAATATACATATAGCACCCGTGCGAAGCTGGGGCGGGTCGCTAGTTAATCCTATAAAAAGGATGTCTATATAACCAGACAAAACAGTGTAGGTAAACAACCTAAAATAATTAACTCAACCTTCATACGAAATTATCTGATTGAGATTTTAGATTTAAAAGATATAAAATTATACACTTTATAAATTACAATGCTATCCTTATTTGTAAATAAGAATGTTATTATTATTTAATTTAGATAACATTTTAGTCATAAAAAAACATGTTTTCTTTTTTCAATTTACGATTTAAGGAAAATAAAACAAAATTAATAAATACTTCTTCACAGGCTGGCAAACCACAATTAACTACCTATAAAATAAATTGGCACTAATTCTTAAATGCAAATTAAATATTTAATTAAGTAAAAATAATTAATTAAATTAAGTCGTCGAGTACCGTCACTGGTGACCGCTTGGTGTTTGAGAGTTTAAATTAAATATACAATGTAGAATTACCCCCATACTAATAATGTACAGTACAACTTCATCAGTTATTTCGAACACTTATCGTGAGATATTACGTTCACTTAGAAAAACTCTTTGTACTAACACTATCCAACTATATGTATAGGTGTCACGGAGAACCTAACAGGTAACCGGGGCTCTGGCTCGACGTGCAGGAGAAGGAACAGGGTGGTTTTTAGTCAGTAAGAGTCTGACACTCCCTTCCGCCTCACCCAGGCGGGAGCAGTCATTCGATGATTTTCCCCCCTTAAAAAAAAAACTATATGTATAGGTAAGTCAACATTATAGTTACTGCTGACTGCTACAAATTGCAACTGTAGAATTAGGTAGGTACTAAAATTAGTTAAATATCAAATAATTTAAACCATTACACAATTAATTAGGCTTTATTATAGGTATTACTATTTTATTGTCATATTTATAAAGACAAAAAGTTTGTTTTTTCGTTTGAATGTGCTGATCTCCGAAATACTGATTAGATTTAAACAATTAGATTTGTGTTGGATAGCACATTTATCGAGAAAGGCCATAGGCTTAAAACAATGTGCTACGATCAATAGGCACCGAGCCGAGTGAGTGAAACCAGGCAAGTAGCTTGTGTAATAATTAAGTTGAAGGGTTTGTTTGTTTAAATGTGGTAACCTCCAGAACTACTAGTTTGAATTAAATAATTCATTTTGAGTTGGATAGTCCATTTATCGAAGAAGTCTATAAAACACCCTTCTATCAATAGTACGGCTCCTGCTTGGCAGCAGAGAGGGTGAAACCATAGCAGAGAAGCTAGATATGTAATATTATTACCTAATTAGCATTAAGTACTTCTCTCTACTTATTCCATTTACTTAATAACACAATTAATTGTGACAAATATGACCGATTCACTATAATTTTAACCAAGTAAGTAATTAAGAATGTTGTAATGCTATATTACTTTATGTACTTCAAATGAATTATTTCCATATTCATTTGAGTCATTTTTCAAATAATTTTTGCCCAAACTAGACCTAACAACAGGTTAGTTAGGACATAAAAAACTTAATGGTACATTATTTATTATTTTTAACGGTAAGTAAGTATTTATATATGTTGTGTTTGTAAAATGCACTTTGCAGTAATTTATATCTTTGGTAATTGTTGCAGAGTGAATGTGTTCCATTTGGAGTCCAAAAGTGTTAGTATTTTTGTCAATGCAATGTCTATAATATTTCTAAATAATCATACTGTATAAGATAGATTAGACAGAGATATAGTACAGCAACAGTATTTAAAATTTGAAAAAAAAAGTGCTGACACACCATAGAAATTAACAGACACTTTTTAATTTAAATAAAGAAAACCGCAATAACGCTACGAGGTGAAAGTGAGAGTGCGAATCACACGAGAAGCGGCAAATAAATCGAGTTGGCAACGTTACAAACACGAAAGGACCAAAAAATACGATTACTCGTTATAAAAATACAAAACATTAATTTTTTCACATGTCAAGCGAAATAAACTAGCAACAAGAACGATCTAGGTCGTCTGCCGCGAACACGTAGGTCAAAACAGCAGACAACTCATACAAATACGCCGATTCACATCCCTTTCTGTTTGCCTAAGATATTCTATACAACTACAGTGCGCGTCTAGATATAAGACATACTCTATGACTAATCTAAACATTAAAACGCGACAAATCAATAACATCATACACAGTACACAAACAAAATCAATAATTTCAACAATGAACTAACCACACTGGCGGTGTCTTGGCTGTCTAAAGAATACTTGTCCGTTTCCTTCCCAGGCTGGTCGTTGGAGAAATTTTCATATTTGCGCGTGGGGCTACTTTTCATCGTTCACACAATGCCTCACAGCTTAGGCCTCGATAGACATTTCCACACCCAAGAAGACGACACGAACAACCAACGAACGAAAAGTCACTGACAGAAAGTAATAGCACCGAAACCAAACAACTGACAATTCAATGACATTCTTGACAGGACACGACATAGGACTAGAGTTGTGCTACGTAACTATTTTTTTATTATCAACTAAAACAATTATTAAATGCTATTTTATTCCAATTCCTATAAAATATCGCATTCATTCTTGATCCTATTAGATTGTAGAACATATAAATTGATAATTTTCTGATAAACGGATATCATAATCAATTTAGTCGATTATAAAGGAAGGACACTCCACCTCTACATCGCGTGATAGAGATAGAAAGATGAATTATAATGAATCAGAATTATTTATTTATTTCCGATAATTACTTGATCAGTTTTTATCTAACTTTATAATTATTTTCTACAGATTTGTCATGGCCACGAATTACAATGAAACTGTAAAAAATCATTGTGCCTATGTTTTTATAGCTGTAATAAAACTATAATAAGAATAATTTGTTATAACCTCATAAACCTACCTGTAATAAAATATTCCTTATTTAATCATATAAAACTTTTGATACTCACATCTCCTTGCGCCCAGGAATCATTAGGATCCCACAGTTGTATTTGCGTGTATTCTTTAACAATTTCATTTTTATAATTTCTACGGAACATCTGTAAATCAACACCATTTTGACACTGCAATTTTATTTTTATAAAGAATCAATTCAAAATTGAGTAGGTTGTATTCGAAATCACTGGCCACCACACTAGTTTTATTTACTCACCTAAATTATTAGATACTTATTAACTTTATATCATAGTAGGTAGGTATGTACCTAATTTATAGGACCATAACAATACGACCACTGAATAAAACTATTGTACTATCTAACGTTAACTTTATCAGCAAGTAAGCGTCACAATACGTACTACACCAAGATAAGTCATTGGTAGGTAGGTATATTACTAATTAGCTTATCAGAATTTCACCATGGCTTCAAAGCAATCTAACGTAAATCTATAATTGTTTTTTTATTACGGAAATATTTTGTGATAAGGTTGTCTGTATAAGTAGATAACTAAATCCTTCCTTTTTAAACAGATTTTATTCGAAATCCGCTTAGCTAATCCCTCCTTTGAATTAAAAAAGGTATTTAGCAGTATTTCAACTTGCTATTATGGTAGATACAGATTTTTGAACGATAGAAATATAAAGTTGATCAAACACATTAGACATAAATGATAAAATGTCTACCCAATGTTTATTTATTTATTTATTTATTTATTTACACACATACCATACAAATATCCTTACAGGCTAGACCCAATGCGATATTGCAGCAAATATTAAAATAACAATAATAAACAAAATACAAACAAGAAATATCCATATACTCTATAGAAATATAATACGATAAAGAATATATAATAAGCTTTTACTACATATAGCAAATCCTATGCATGGCTGCTCGTGTAAATTCTCCTAAAGAGCAACAGAATATGTCTACGTCATTAGCAATGAGGTTCAGAGTGCGAAGCGCACACGTGAGCGGTGCCTCCCGCAGCAAGTTAGTTCGCGAACGTGGTTCTGCCAGTAACCGCGGCTGGCGACGACGACTCACGTATCCATCGGGCACGACCAGTTCAACCCTTCGCAATATATCCGGATTGTGTATCTTCCCCCTAATTATTTTAAAGATATAAGTCACCAATGCGAGTTGCCTCCTGACCTGTAGTTCATTATATCCAACCATACCCAAGACAAACAGAGTTGGATACATTAATGGGTAGAATGGATATACCCCGAACTCTCTCATATACTTATATCTCATGAATTTATTCTGTACTCGTTCAAGCATGAGACTGTACTTAGTTTCATGTGGAGCCCAGATCACTGCGTTGCATTCAAGCTGGCTTCTTACTAAAGCATTATATAGTGTCGTTATAGCTCTCATATTTGTGAAGCCTTCTAAGTACAAATCCTAGATTTCGATATGCTTTCTTGCATACCTCGACTATATGATTACGAAACGTGAGCCCAGAGGTAAAACGAACTCCTAAGTCTTTAATCTTCATGACCCTATTCAGCGGTACCCCATCCACCGTATAAGTATGTGTGACGGGTGAGTGTGCGCGTGAGAAACTTATGGTCACACACTTAGACGTGTTAAAATGCAGGAGATTACATTGACTCCAAGCAACTACTCGGTCTATATCGCTTTGCAGCTTTTCACAGTCATTTACGTTTGTGATGGGGATGTTCTCTCGTATTATGGAATGGTACTTAGACAAAAATATATTCTGTTCAACCTTGTTGCTTGAACAGCCACAGTTGACTTCCGGATACAGATACTTTTTTAATTATTTATTTTTTTATATTTGATGGGCCGACGTTTGACTACTATCTCTGGTGGTAAACCACGTTTGTCCGATGATGCGGTCTACGATGGAGCACTTCGACCCATAAGCAACCTATTCACCCGGGCCTTGAAGACACCCTTCAGGAAATATAATTTAATAAATCTAATTAAACTTATATTCAAATTAATATAACTTAAAAAAGAAATAAAAAACACAAATAAATCAACAAAATGATCTAACATGATTTATTTAAATATTCCTATAAATTAAATTTACAAAACGTCGAGGTGTTTTTGTTCTAAGATTTGAGTCCGTCCTGCAGACCGTAGCCAGGACCAGTTGGTTCATCAGTAAGACTGGTCAGACCTCCCAGGGGTTCAGAGGCGAATCTTCCACTCCTGAGGTCAAAAAATACATTAACTTTAAACATTTAAACATAAAATACAGTTTTTTTATAATATTACAGATTAATTCTCCACGGACTCTAGGTCCGTGCCCTTGTCATACAATTAAAAAAAATACGTTAGTTCACTAGTCTTTTGGGGGCGAAGTGAGGAATTTCACGAACACAAACGACACGAAACGCGACTCTGAAATAGTTAATTAATGATTGACACTTGAAATTATTACATTACTAGTTGCATCTTTACTGTATGCGCGTGCGCACGAGATCATTATCATTGTGATACAGCTTACCAGTGCGTGTAATATGTTGCACACACGTAATACGCATTTTTGTTCGTAATTGCACTTATTTACCGAAGGAATATGCATCTTTACATCATTTTTTCCATATAAGTATTTTTATTGCATAGGAAGGTTTGGACATGTAGAAAGGATGGATGAAAGTAGAGTAACGAAAGAAGTATACGGAGCGGATGAATGGGGCCGTCGGTAGAGGGCGCCCTAGACGGACATATAGTGACCAGATTGGCGATATATTAGAGAAGGGCCAAATTAAAAGTACCCTTAACCGACGAGCATGCATGAAAAGATTGATGACTGTTAATGAAGCGAAAGAGGTATGTAAGAATCGTAGTAATTGGCGTTCCTTAGTCTCTGCCTACCTCCATGGGAGACAGGCGTGAAGTTATGTATGTATGTATGTATGTATTGGATAGGACGAGACGTATCACCGATCACGAGATGGTAAGCGATGGGTGCCGTCCATGGACACCCGAAACACTAAAGGCGTTATACTTATAAGGCTGGTTTTATAGGGATTGGACATTTGGACCTGGATTGATTGGATAATATAATAGCAGATGATGAACTTTTTGGCACGAGTAAGTATCGAACCGAGTCCTAATTATTTAGCAGTCCCACTTGTAGTGTAATTGGGTACTTTTCTTAATCAAAAATAAATTATTTTGACTGTTCAATACACAACA